AGGGACGAAAAAATCCCAGTGCCCACACTGGGATGGGATCCAGGCCCCAGTGTACTTTAAAGCTCCCTGGTGATGCCAACACAAAGCCGAGGCCAAGAACCAGCTGACTGTTCTCATTAACGAACGGGTGCTGAGAACATCGGGCATCCATATGGGAAAAAGGGCCATGCCTCAAACCATGGGCCCAGAGAATTCCATGTAGCCTAAAGAACTAGATATAAGAAACAAAACCTAAACTAAAAAACAAAACAAGGGTGCCTGGGTGGCTCAGTTGGTTGTAGTGCAAGCTGTGAGCAACAGAGTTGCCGGTTTAATTCCCAAATGGGCCAGTGAACTGCGCCCTCCGCAACTATTGGGTTGTCAGAAAAGTCATGACACATTTTTGCAACGAAAAACATAGAAAAAAATACAACATGACTTTTCCAACAAGACAACCCAATAGATTGAAAACCACTGACTTGAGGTGAGCTGCCGCTGAGCTGCCGGTGGGGGGCCTGATGACTCAGTTGGTTAGAGCGCGCGCTCTTAACAAGGCTGCTGGTTAGACTCCCACATGAGATAGTGGGCTGCACCCCCTGCAACTATTGGGTTGTCGGCAAAGTCATGACGTATTTTTTCTATGTTTTTCATTGCAAAAATGCGTCATGACTTTGCCGACAACCCTACAGATTGAAAACAGGCGACTGGACTTGGAGCTGAGCTGTGCCCTCCATAACTAAGACTGAAGGACAACTTGACATGGAACTAATGGGTCCTAGGAAAAACACACTGTTCCCCAATAAAGTTAAAAAAAAAAAAAAACCTGAAAAAAATTAGAATGCATTTATAGCCATAGGATACTTAAGGCTTTCCAACCAAAAGTACACTCCCATAAAAGAAAAAAAATGTTGACATTAAAATGAAAAATTACAATACAAAACACCATAAACAAGTTACCGTATTTCCCCCATGTATAAGACGCACCCTTTTCCGAAAAATTTGGGGTCTAAAACCCGGGTGCGTCTTATACAGTGGTTGTAGATTTTTTAACTTGCATTTCCCACTTTTTTCGATTTTCGCTTTTTTATGATGACTAAAACTTGAGTTCAATAACTTTATGTAATATATAATTTTTTTTTTCCAAATTTCGGGCCCCCAAATTAAGGTGTGTCTTATACATGGGAGCGTCTTATACATGGGGAAATGCAGTAAAAGGCAAGTTAACAGATCGAAAGTATTTGTGGTGTATGTCACCAAGGATGAAAATCCTGGCTATAGAGATCAGGACAAAAAGCCAAGCCTGTAAAAAAATAAAACAGCAAACAAACACAGAAAGATAGTCAACTGTACTAGGCATCAAGGAAAAATGTAAAGTGAAACAGGATATCAACTTTTTTACCCATCAGGTTGGCTAAGTTAAAATAAAATTCATAAGATCCAGTGCTGGTGGGCAGGTGGGGAAGAACGTATTTTCACGTGTTCTGGAGAACATCCACTATCATTTCCCATTGGGAGGGCACGTGGACAATAACGAATACGATCTCACTGAAGTATGTACCCTTGTAGCAGGAAGAACACCTCCAGGTGGCCATCCTAAAGGAAGGTACCCACGCAGAGAGGCGTATCAGTGACATTCACAGTAAGACTGATGGGGGGATCAATAGGTGAATGGATATATACACTGTGATACCATCCACATTACGAAACATTATGCAGCAATGAAAAAGAATGAAATAAACCCAAATGTGCCGATGTGGCAAGAATCCAAGATACAGCTATGTAAACAATGCAATAACATCATAAATTCAGAGCAACCCTGACTTATATGTATACAAATACAAATATACGAAGGGACCAAAATGCAGAAAGATCCTGAAGGACACCCTTGCATCAGGAGAGACTGGTTACCTCTGGAGCACGGAGGGAGAAAAGGCGGGGGTCTGGGATCTCCATTAGCAGACGCTGGTTCAGAGGGTGATGGGTGGCAGACTGGGGAAGCAGAATTCTGAGCTGTTGTTCTAGGCTTCCTCTCGCCTCCCATCTTGAGCCTGAAGTCCCAAGGGTAAGGACCAGGTCTTTTCTCACACCTTCCCACACAGCTCCTCACACAAAACCGTTTGGCGAAGCAACCTCTAAACACTTGGCAGGTTCTAGGGAAATGTGCCACTTTTTGCCTTTTCAAAGACACAGTGAGAACTCCAGGCTGTATCATAAACAGAAGCCCCCTGTGCAAAAGGGAGGCTGGCTGGTCAGAAGGTCCCCTTTTAGTTTTCAAAAGAAAGAGCCTGACAGAGACAAAAGGCAAAGCCAAAGGAAGCCGCTGCTCACCTTGGGGGCCTGTGGAGTCTTTGGTTTCTGGAAGAACCTTGTGATTTCAGCTTTCTCTGCTTTAATGCGCTGCAATTTAATAGAAGATGAGGAAATGAAGAGAAATGGTGTGTTTTTCCAAACATGCAAAGGCCCCGAGGACTGAACTCCAAGCATTTTAAAGTTGAAAGCATTATTTTGATGTTAACTCTCAAAACCCATCAACCCCCACTGGGTACCAGGCAATCTCAAAATGGCAGAGCTGCTCTTGCTGGCAGAAGGACGGGGACATCAAGCCAGCAGGCACGTGCCAGTCCTGCAGGGCAATGAGCTACAGGAATGCATCCACACATGCCAGTCCCTGTGGGGCCACTGGGCTTCCCACAAGCTAGGAACACTGGGCGGCAATCAGGCAAAAACGCCTTTATGACATCTCCAGGACCCACGTTTCTCAAACAGACCGGAATGCGGAGGTTGGGAGATAATGTCTACCTTTTCTTCTTCTTTCAACCGTTTCTCTTCTTCCTTTTTTCTCTTCTCCTCCAGCTTAGCCCTGTGGTACATGAAATTCGATTAAGCCAATCAGTGCGTGATGCGCAGACAAAGTCTGTGTTCCCCAATGAGGACCCGCGGGTCAGTTAGGGGTCTGGAGAGGTGTCCCCAGGGGACAGAGACGGGAAGACAGAGGAAGAGGGCAACAGAGCAGAGGCTTCCCTCAGGGGCTCAGTGCACACCGTTGGGGAAGGTACAGAGGGGGGAGGGGGGACAGTGGTCGCCTGAGCTCAGGATGCTGGGGAGGCGGCACTCACTCCAGGGCCTCCTGCCGCTCCTTGCGCCGCTCCTCCTTGAGCCGCTGCTTCTCTGCCTTCTCCTTTTCATCCTTCTCCCTCTTCTCACGCCTCTCCTTCTCCTTCAGCTCCTTCTCTTCCTCCTTCTTTTTTCTGGCTTCTTCCTTGGCCCGCTTGGCCTCCTCCTTCAGCTTCTCCTTTTCCTCTTTTTCGGCCCGTAACTTCAGCTGCTTGCACAAACGCTCCTTATCCTGCAGCCAAGAGACAATTCAACAGCTGTGTCCTCCACAGAACTCCCGGGAAGGGTCAGGCCAGCATTGCGGGGACAGATGAGTTCAAACAGAAGGGGAAAGAAGGAAGGAACTGGCCCCAGTAAAAGCCGGATGGTCAACATCCATACACGGAAGTGATTCTTCAATCTGTCACATTTCTTTCTGTTGTGAGAAAAGTGGTGAGAATTGTCACAAAACCTTGTGGGTCATTCAAAATAAGATTCGCTTGAAATACCGTCTTTAAACATAGGGCGGAGTTTATTTTTTTACTTAATTAAAAAAGATTAAATAAGTACCCCTGGGCTACCTATGCAGGGCACCCACTGATGGTTGGAGCTGCATTTATTTAATCAGAAAGCTGTGGTAAAATAAAAACATAGACGTCCATAGGTTTTGCCTCCCTGCCTTTAAAACAAAAGCATTTTTCTTCCCGCTCCCTCCCCAAAACCATACCTGATGACATACTTTATTTTATATCTTTTGAAATGGAAGATTCAATGAAGCATGGACGGGAAACCTGATTGGTAAAATCTTAAAAGAGTGGGGAACAGATAAGAAGGCATAACAAATAAAAGAAAAAAAAATTTTTTTAATCTTTAAAACCATTTCTCAAGACCTGAAAAGGGTAGATGTTAAGAAAGGATGAAGAATAATCTATATTACTAAGGAGGAAATAGCTAGTTTCTTTGATATTCTTTACAGTGGGATCCCCTGGTTTTATCACACCAGCCCCTCATTCCAAAGAGCTGGTCTGCAGCCCCAGGCCCTGAGCCTCTAACACAGCACGGGGTAACTTTCAAGGACCATTACCACCAAAGATGGTCTTTCCAAGGTGAGGAGCCCAACAACTCAGCTTTCGGTCTGGGCATAAGATTATGCCTTGTCTCTCAAGAAGAGACTGCCTCCTGCCCTGATAACCCTTTGGTCGCTTGAACAAAAGCCATGGAGGCCGTTAGAGATGAATGTTTGCTTCTCGCCAAGTATCCTCAGCATTCATCCAACACATCGGATACTTAACCCCTTGCGTACATTTGACGACTGAAATTCCTCATGTACTTGCTTTGCCTAAGTGCAAGATGATGAGTCTAACTCATTATTTGATTTAAGATAATATTTAACATGTACATTCTTGTTCATTTTAGAGTAGTTTGTATCAGTTGCAACAGGAGAAACAATTACAGTATTTCAGTGAAACTTTGCGATACACTGCCCCACAATGTTAACAATAAGGAATGTATTTTATGAAAGTGATAACGCAAGTTTTAATGAAAGTGACTTTGGCAAAAAAAGAAAAAAGCAAGGTGGCGATATAAAAAATATTATAAAACCAGCATGTGTGCTTGAGTATAATAATGGTATGGGAGGTGTCAATAAACAGGATAAAATGTTAGCGTGTTTCCCTGTTATGAGAAAATGTGCAAAGGGATATAAGAAATTTATTTTTTTTTTATCTAATAGACATAGCCTTTTATAATACACATGTTTTATATTCTAAAATCAACTGCACAACCAAACCAGGCATTGTTTGCTTTCGTCTAGCTATTGCTGAACAATTATTAGAGCAAGTGTCATTGCCAAATTATAATTGTCGTGGACGTCCTTCATATAGTTTGCAGGTGAAAAATTGGGCACACTTTCCTGAGAACATTCCGTCAGCTGAGTCCAAGCAATGCTTTACAAAAAGGTGCCGTGTGGGCTGGCCAAGTGGCGCGTTGGTTAGGAGTTGGCTTGGGACGCCAGCTCTGAGCAGCAGGGCCCCGGTTCAGGTCCCACATGAGGGCCAGTGACATTGTATCCTCTACAGCTAAAATGGTGAACAACAGCTCAACCTGGAGCTGGGCTGCCATGAGTCGCCAGCGATGGCATAGGCTGCAGTGGGGCTGGCCAGCAGCGGGCGTGAGTTTTTGCGAGCTGTTGTGAGCCGCTGTGAGCGGCCCCCCAATGGCCGGCGAGCGACTGACTCATCCGGGAAGAGCGCAATAATACCAACATGGGCCAATAAAGCAGCGTCCTCCACAACTAGACTGAAGAACAAAAGGACAGCAACTTGTCTGTTCCCCTCCCCCAATTCCCTAATAAAATCTTAAAAAAAAAAAAAAAAAAAGGTGCCGTGTTATAAACATAAAATTAGGAAAGAGACTACCCAGCAGTGCAAACAATGCCAAGTGTCGCTACATTTACCTACTTGCTTTGAAAAATACCATACTCTTCATAACTATTAGTAATTTGTTTTTTGTTATACCTTGGATTTATTTGTTTTAGTTTTGTGATTTTATGTATTTACTTATTTTTGTTTTGCAATTCTAATTACGTGAGGTCATCTCAATACTATGTATGTCACTGATTTTTTAGAAATAAATGAATTCTTACATAAAATCTACTGCCTTTACGTATTATTCCAAGTATCAAAAAGTTAAATCTGTTCCATATGCAAAATTTTTTTCAGATAAATTGGTACCCAAGGTGTTAAGAAGGTGCCTGTCTGGATCAAGTAACGAGCCAGCAGTATAAGCACAGGGTGGTGGTGGTGACGGGGGTAGGGGGTCCCTCCTCACTGCTCAACAAGACAGAAGGCTGTGGAAATGATGGGTCAGTTGCATAAATCAGGTCTCTTCAGCCATACTTGAATCCCGTCTCCACTCCCACCCCACATGTGACCATCTCTGAAATCCCAATGGAGAATGAGATAAACTCTTCAGAAGCCATCAAAATCGGACCCACAAAAATCCAATACAACCATAAGGCAGATAGCACAGGAAGCACTGATGAACACACAGCCAACTGTCATCAGCACCCTTCTGCAGGCTGGCATGGGAGGGGAGAAGCCCACTGGCCTTCTCTGTTCTTCACGACAATAACAAAGGGGCCCTGCACTGCTGTGTGCAAAACGTGTTGCCTCCCAGATAACAGAATCTAGAACTCGGCAGGGATCACTAAGCAATAATCACCCATCAAGTGTACGGGCCACCAAAATTCTACAGCACACGGGAAGGAGTGAACTTAAATCTATCCATAGGAGCCTGGAATACAAGGAAAGGGACTGAGTTTTTGTGAAGGCAATTTAAAACTACAACAGAGGGGCCAGCCAAGTGGCTCAGTAGGTTAAGAGTGCAAGCTCTGAGTAACAGGATCACCAGTTCGATTCCCACATGGGCCAGTGAGCTGTGCCGGAGCTGAGCTGCTGCTGATCTGCCAACAGGTGGCAGGATGGCTTAGCTAGTGAGAGACGTGCTCCTAACAAGATTTCCTATTCAACTCCCGCATAGGATGGTGGGCTACGCCTACCTGCAACTAAGATTGAACATGGCACCTTAGCTGAGTGGCCGCGAGCTGCTGACGGGTGGCCGGATGGTGACTGGACTTGGAGCTGAGCTAGCTGCGCCCTCCACAACTAAGGTTAAAGGACAACTTGGATGTTCCCCTTCCCCAATTCCCCAACACTGTTCCCCTTCCCCAATTCCCCAATAAAATCTTTAAAAAAACCTACAATAAGATGCCCAACTATTAAACAGCAATAATAATAACAACAGTGATAATAAAAGCTTAGAAAAGGCTACATGCAAAGCCTCAGGCTTCAGCAAAGCTAAAAATGATACAATCTACAAGCCACGAAGTCTAGTTATGTAAAATGAAGCAAGGCTCACACTGAGGGTCAGGATAAGCCGGTGAGAGGGGAGAGGTAAAAACTGGGCCAAGGGAAGTGCAAAGGGCTTAGCTTACTATTTAATGTAAAAAGCACAGCAGGTTAATTTTCTATTTCAGGAAAAATGTCTTACTCTTTGCAGTCTCATCTTGTCCTTCTCAGCAGAACCTTTGACCAATTTCTTAGTAATCTGAAATGAAAGACATTTATCTTTAAACACGGGTTGTTTCAGTCACTTTAACACGTTTAACACATTGCAGTCCTTGAGGAGAGGGAAAGGGAACAAGCAAACCACACTGTTAAGAACTTCTTTGCAAAATGAGAAAAATGGAAACCTTTCTAGGTGACCAGTTTCCATTACACAGAAAAAAATTGTCTTAGTGGGGTCATAAGCTCCAATGAAGGTGCACATGTGTGCTTTTGGGAACAAGAGGAGACATGGGGGAGGCAGCTGACACAAATGAGTGACAGGGGCGAAACACAAGAAAAACAAGGCAAGCTCGGAAAATAAAAGCAATTCAGATGACACAAAGTGATAGGATTTGTAGCCAACTAGAGAGGATGCAGGCCGGCCAAAGGGGACAGCGCTCTCCCAGGGCTGTAGGCTAGTACTGCGGCTCCTTCCAATGTTCCCAAGAGAGAACTGTCAACTTTATGAGAATTTTGTAGGGAATGTCTAAAATCTAACACTATGTGAATCAAATAAAACCTATATACTGGCTGGATTCCTGGACTCTCTGCTTGGCATAACTCTGCTTTTTAGAATGTGGAGTAGCACTCAGGAAAAAAAGGTCAGCTTGCCAGAGGTGGCAATCTGTCTAAACCCCTATGTTCTAGAGCACGACATTCTCTATCACCTTGCTTCAGACTGAGCATGCTTGACAAGAGCTTCCCAAAATGCACGGATGGACGCATGCTGGCCGAATGGTCCCAGGTCAGAATATGAACAAGGATTGAGATTACTGGCCTAAGTTCTCTAGAACAGGTGTCCTGACGACCAAACCATTAGGTGCAAGAGCAGCGGGAGAGTTCAGGCTGGAAAAATGAAACTCCCCAGGCTGATTTTAGACTTGGACAGGCAGCCAAAAAGTGAGACTGAAGTGGAGCTGAAAAACCAAAGGTCCAGTTCTCTTCAAATAGCCTGACATATCGACAAAACTGTGTAACAATGATTTATTTCTCTTTCTGGAGAAGCCTCAGCCCTAAGACCTCTTACAGACTAAAACTCACAGATTAATTAACTCAAGAAGATGACTTCTACTTGGCACACGGAATTCTTTCTGGACTCAGCCTTCCCTTAGGAAAGGGCCGAGCCATCATAAGAAAGCCAAGTGTTGGCAGGCGTTCAAACGCCTCTAAGACTGTCCGAGAGAGCATGCACCAACAGAAACGGCAATTACCAAAGCTGTCTTAGTAAGGGCTTAAGAAAAAACTTCTGCTTCTTCAGGTTCCACTCTACCTCTCAAGTCTGTGAACTTCACCCCCACCACCAAAGGACTGAGCAACAGAATTTTGTGAGTTGCTCTATCTGTGTTGTTGTCCTTTGTGTTCAAAGATTATAGCAGTGAATGTGATTGCCAGACTCCTATATGAGAGTATTTGGTTGGGGGAGGGGGGAACAGACTTATTTAGTCTTGCCTATACATGTGGAATTTTAGCTGCACTATCTCGTGCCTTTTACATCACTCCCCGTGGGCTGCAAGTCTGAGAATAAGAGCTGACATGACTCTCAGGAGCCGCCTTAATGATATTGGACAGCTACAGCAATTTTGATCTAATTTAAAACCTACTATTATTTCTACTGCTTTCCTAGACACTTGGGTGGACCTTATAGGTCTGACATAATTGTATCTTATTGACATTTGGCCCAAGTATTTATAAAACTCTCTAAATCATGTGTGATATTTTACCTCTCTGGAACACATCTGCCAAAAACAAGACCCAGAAGGATCCCAGAAGGAGGCAGAAACACACACATCAGCTCCCTCTAGTCAGGGCAAATGTAACTGTCTGTGCATTTAAATCCCTGCATTTTATTCAGGAGAATCTTCTCAACCCATTTACTCTGATTTTATACATAAGGAGATCTAATTTCTAAGCAGATAAGCAGCAGCAAATGAGGTGAGGAGAGGCTGGTAGGGATGGGCCCAGCAGCAGCTAAAAACCTAACAGCAGGGGAGAGAAGGCAGAGGGGGAAATTCACAACCCAAATTGGTCCAACCATATTAGAGTGCAAAAATCAACACGTGCATTCTTGTGAGCCTGCAATTCTACTTCACAACAACCCCAGGAAACATGTAGAAGGAAGCTCATTACCACTACTGTTCTGTCAAGGCTGAGAATTAGACAACTGAAACATGCATCAAAGAAAATGACTGTAAAGTACAGTATATCCACACCACAGATGTGCAGTACAGCAGTTAAAAAGAGATACGGCGCTCAATCAAGAATGCGAGCTCTGAGCAACAGCGGTTCGATGCCCGGCCCAAGCTGAGCTGCCAACAGGCGGCAGGATGGCTCAGCTAAAAAAATAAATAAATAAATAAAGATACGTCTTCCCATCCCAATATAAAAAATATCTCAGACATTCTCCAATGAAAAAGAAACAGATTTCCAGTATATGCTCACGTAAGGAAACAAATTGAGACTGTGTATTCCTAAGGAATCTCCCATATATACACAACACAAAGAAATAGAAGATGATCATGATGGCAACCTGGGGGAGAGAAAGGAGGCCAAAGGGGGCTGTCACGTTTCAATGATTTTTTTTTTTAAACATGGAGAATTTAATGCTTGTAAAATTAAAATTATACAGGAAAAAGTTCCAGAGATCTGGGCTCCTTTGTACAGGAACAAGGCAGAGATTCCAGTAGCACAACTGTGTCAATATTATCATTTGTGGAATAATAATCTGGAATCATCAGTAAAGTAGGCTGAATTGCATGTCTCATTGCAAACGAACTTGGGAAATGGTTTTACCCCAAGTGGTAAAAAACTCTAATGCTAAATAGAAACTCTTTGGCTACTCAAAAGACCCTGAGATTATCTAAAAAAGGTGCTCCTAAACTATTGAGTCTCCAGATCCCTGAGAAGGGACAGCAGGCTCTGCATTTTAACGAGTTCCCTGCAAGAAAAAAACCCCAGAACAACAACACACAAAATACAGGACCAATGAGTGCCTAGGAGTTCCAAAACGCAGAGATGTTACAGTACCAACTCCAGCACTAACAGAGCCCAATAAAAATCACACACCTTGGGGGCTGGCCGAGTGGCACATTAGTTAAGAGTTGGCTTGGGATGCCAGTTCTGATCAGCAGGGCCCCTGTTCAGATCCCACATTAGGGTCAGTGATGCTGCACCCTCTACAGCTAAGATGGTGAACAACAGCTCAACCTGGAGCTGGGCAGCCGTGAGTCGCCGGCGATGGCGTAGGCTGCAATGGGGCTGGCCAGCAGCTGGCGTTAGCTTTCGTGAGCTGCCGTTTAATGGCTGGCAAGCAACTGCCTCACCCAGGAAGAGCACAATGATAACACCAACATGTGCCAGTGAAGCAACGTCCTCCACAACTAGACTGAAGAACAAAAGGACAGCAACTTGTCTGTTCCCCTCCCCCAATTCCCCAATAAAATCTTAAAAAAAAAAAAAAAATGCATTAAATATAGTTCCTTTAAAAAAAAAAGAAATGAAGCTATTAAGAAGAATGGAAACACGTGTGTGTCCTGTTTTCCAGGCTAACTGGCTGTGACATGTCACGTGATAAAGTTCTGCAAAGGATTAGCAGCAATTTGGAAGGATTTCAACCTATTGGATGGACCGAACAAGATGGTTGACAGCAAGAGAAACCCCAACTCCAACTGAGTCTGAGTAATGGCTCAGGTGGAAGTTTGAAAATGTGTATCTATCTGCCACATGTAGAAACTTAGAAGAAAAAAAGATTGCTCCACTCTTGATTGATATTTTGTGAACCTAAAGAGAAGTCATTTTCTCCTTTCTCCTATGCTCCTCAGGAGGTGAAAAACAAGAAGTGGAATAATCTAGAAAATAATTAGTTCCTTAAGAGATAAAGTTTCAGAAAACAACCAAGGTTGGTGGTTTATGGTCAAATTAACAGGTAGAGATTGACCCAGTCTAGGATCGAATCTTACAGTAAAAAAAACCTAAGATGAACAAAAGTTTCACAAAACAAAAAACCAAAGAACACCATTAAACACACTTTGGGGCTCTTAACTGACTTTATCAGTTTTACCCACAAGACTTTAAGGACAGGGGAGAACAGAAACATTTGCCATTGTGCTGATCAGAAACCAGTAACAGAAACAAATACAGTAATATCTTGGTTTTTGATATCGGAAAGAATCAAAATTCTACCTCGGAAGTCACAGGACCTAGTTTGGGGCCCACTAACCACCTCAGGGATACTGTGTCCCCAGGTGAAAAAGGGCTGGATTAGAAGCGCCGTCAGCACCGACACACTGGGATGTGGGGAGATACTCACTCTGCGGACAGGTGTGGAAGTGGAGAAGTGACTGGGACTGCTGTGTTGCTTTTTGGAAGCAGACCGCCCCTCGGGTGAGCTAGAAGAGCTCAGGGATGAATGGCTGAGGACAGAGTCTTCTTCAGGGCCGGACTCCAGCATCTCACTCTCGGAGGGTACACTCTGGTCAAGAAGGGTTGTTGGAGAAGGCTGGGCTCCAGAAGGCTTTGTAGCCAGAATATTCTGCAAGACCACCACAGGCACCTTCCCTTTGAACAGGATGCCCCCGGCTTCGCTCCAACCATCCTGGTCCTTCTCAGAGCAAATTCTCAGACCGTCTGTCAGCTTGGGGCAGCTTTGGGACAAGCCTTTCTGTGCGTCTCTGCTCCTCTCTGTGCCCCCTGAGCCAGCACCCTCCTCCTCTGTTTTGCACAGAATGTCTGAAAGGGTCTCTTCAGGAAATGCCAGCTCGTCCTTCTGATTGGCCTGCAGCAGCCCCTTTTCATATCCAACTTCTTCTCTGAGCCCATTTACAGCCTCTGTGGAGGGAGAGGCTGCAGAATTTCGTTTACTATGGGCCACAATGGTGTCTGGTTGGTTACCTGAGTCCCCCGTCAAATCAATGATGACCGTAGTCTGATCAGTATTGGTTTTGACTCTATTTCTTAAAAAGTTATCTAAAGGACCCTTCCCATTGACAAGTTTTGGCCTAAAATCTATGTTAGAACCCATATGAAAGTTGTTCTCCAAGTTGTCCAAAGAGGTTTCTACATTGGGGACTTCACTTTGCGCAGGAGCACCCAAAGAGCTTCTTGTGTCGTCTGACCCATCCTCGGTTTTCTCCTTTGGGGCAAGAGATAGGCGCTTGAAGGGCAGACGAGCTGAAACAAAGAAGGAGGACATCTTTACAGTGAAAGTGTGAAGAGTAATAATCGATCAATACTTTATTCTATATGCTCAAAAATGATCGACCTTGCTGGGCTTGGGGGTGTTTTATCGGTTTATAAAACAATCATGCTCTTGGGTCCTAAATTTTGCCCTCAATCCTTTAACCTCAGGAGACTATTGTCCTCAACATAATTCCCACTAACAGCAAACTTGCCATCAGGCATCACAGGAGAAGGGGAATACTACGGGGGGTTGGGTGGGGAATACCAGATACAAAGTTTTAAAAACCAGAAACCATGGCTTTTTTATACAATCCAGCCAATAATCTGGCTAAAGGGTAAATTCACTCCCCTTTTTACACAAAAGGATTTGGGGACATTTATCTTCCTGTACAACAGTGGTTCAATCAGGGCAGCTGGGCCCACCAGGGAACATCTAGCAACGTATAGAGACACTGGTTGTCATGACTTGGGGGAAGAGGCCAGGGATGCTGCTAAAGTCTCTATAATATACAAGACAGCACACCCTACTCCAAAAAATTACAAAATGTCAATAGTGCCGAGGAAGTGAAAGCCTGCTGCAAAAGCAGTGACCTCTGGATTTGCTCCTGGGAAACTAAGGAAACAGTAGTGTAATAAAATGGGTTCCCCAGCTTCCGAAAATGAGGTGCAACTATTTTTCTCCCCTCTAGCCCATTGATACTACCTCTGAGAACCCCAGCCGATGGTCTTTGCTCAAGCGGAATTAAAAGTATAATGGAGACAATGAAGGATATAAATTAAGAACAAATATTTAACCCATTACTGGAAAGTTACCTTGTATTAACTTCTTGACCGGTCTGTCTCTGCAATCCATGGCTGTGAATAAAAAGTGTCAAAGTATAAGTTATTACATAATGGAAATAACGAAGGAGCAAATACATATGTAGCTCCTATTATGTACAAAGTAGTTGTCCAGTGGGGGTGACTTTGCCACCCACACCCTGGGGCCTTTGGCAATGTCTAGGGACACTTTTGGTTGTCAAGACCTAGGGGGAGGGGAGTACTTGCATCTCATGTGTAGAAGAGAGGAATACTGCTCAATATTCTACAATGCACAAGACAGCCCCCTACAACCGAGAATTATGTGGCCCCAAATGTTAATAGGTTAAGAAATCCTGCCCTGGACACTGTCAGGACACTGACCTTCTGAAGGCAGGACACTGGACCTTCTTTGTTTATTTTCCTGTGGCATTTATAGCTCTGAAACTTACATTGTTTATTATGTCTCTCCCACCCCCTCCCAACAGGACACCAGCTGACACTGGAGAGATTTGCCTGGAGCACCTAGCTTGGGGTCTGGCCCATAGTAGGAAATCAATGAATACAGTAACAGCAACAACGAAGGGGGGAATGAATAAAAGTAGAGATGAGAGAAAACACTGTATCACTGATGTCACCATGAATATGACCTCAAAACATCCTCTTCTCCAATCCAACTAGTTCTGTAAAATTAGAATAGGGCTTTCTTTTTAACTAGTTTATGAAAGTATACAACTTAAAGCATTTTGAGCTTGCCAGGCAGGAGAGCTTAAGTGCTGTCAAAAAATAATTAGGGAGAATGTTTTCCTGCATCAAAAAATCTCAAGAAGAGCATCTAACAATATCAAAGCTGATACAGGAATGACCATATGAGTAAACAGACCCAAGTCTTTGGATAAATATCTTTTAAATAGTCAGAGTAAGTTTACACGCTTGCATGCACCTGCTAGGAGATCTGGCTTGGAGAAATCCAGTTTATTTTGGGTAATCTACGATACGTTTTGTACAAGATATATACAAGTAAATATTTTTAAAAAGCAGATCAGGGCTTTCTAAAGAACTTAGCTGTCCATAGATGAAACCGCCCTCCCACTTCCAAGCTGGAAATACAAGGAAGGTACTCAGAAGACTCATATTTCCTTTCTACCCATTTCAAGACACTATCATTCTCAAGATTTCAGTTACCAAAAACATGGATTCTCATACATTTACTGGTATAGTCCTGAGTCACCAGCTTTGATGCAAGTGGAACAGAAGTGACTTGGACCCAGAAGCAACCTCAGGACAACCTAAAGAGGGACCCATCCAGGGATCCAGACTGTTCAAAGGTACACATACAATTAAGACACATTCATGTATAAACTCACCACTACTCTTTATTCTGATATTATACCCCTCCTAATTTTACTTGATGTTAAAAATATCTTTTCCTTTTAAAATAGTATGGTCATAGCAGGTGATGCTTTTTTTACTTTTTAATTAAACGTTCTTATTGGGTCAAATGACTGTCTACGACAATCAGTCCCAACTTTATTTATATGAATTGTATGTCTTTGTGAAATCCCCAAATCTGGAAACAATTAGAACAGTGGTTCTGACCCCCAGGGGCCCTTGGCAATGCCTGGATATGTTTTTGGTTGTCACAACTGGAGGAGGGGTTGCTACTGGCATCTAATGGGTGGAGGCCAGGGATGCCACTCAACACCCTTAAGTGCACAGGAGGGCCCCAAATGTGAACAGTGCTGAGGTTGAGAAACCCTGAATTAGTCTAGTTGATGTCCCTGCCAACCCTTAATTCAATCAACCAATACATATCTATCAGGCACCTATTATGTGCCAAGCATTGTGCTAAGTGCTGGGGATAAAATGGGAGTCAAGCAGGGGGGAGGGCAATCTAGTCTTCTTTGGTTCACCACCCTACGTATGGGGAGGGCCTGTTAGGTGCTGGAAACCCCCTCCCAAGACACAGGGAGTAGAAAGATAGATCTTCACCTTGAGTATCCACCAGGATCAAGAATCAGGGAATCCCAGCTCCCTGACATTCCCACCATCCAGGCATCTTCCCTGGGCTTACCCTGACCCGCAGAAGCAGCTATGACCCTGGGCCTCAGTATCCCCACTGGAGAGGGTCGCTGCACGGTCCAAGTTGCTCAGAGGACACAAACGCAACCTGCAAAGTCGGCCCTTTCACCTCCCTGGGCCTCAGTTTCCCCATCTGGCCACACCGACCAGTCACCGCAAAGGGCCCTAAGAAGGACTAACTTAACGCCTGAACACAGGAAAAGAATGGTCGCGATCTCAACAATAACGTCAAGGAGGGCGCCATTCGGGTCGCAAGTCCCTTCCTCGAGATAGTAACTATCTCACGGACCGAACGCACCGCGCAGAGAAGCGGCCCGGGATCGGGAGGCCCGCCCGCCCCCAACCGCCTCCTCGGCACGCACAGGCCGACCACCGCATCCCCCCTTCCCCTCTGCGCAGGCGAAACTGACCTGCGACCACTCCCCTGGCGGCCGGCGCCCCGCAGTCCAGCTGTTCCAACATCGCCCCACGGCGGCTCGAGCTCCCCTCGGGCGGCGGAGGCGCCGGCTCCACTCCGGCGGCCGCTGCTGCTCGCCCTCCCGCCCGCGCCGCTACTGCCGCGGCCGCCGCGCTCGTATTTGGCGGGAACCGCTGCGACTCCCACAGCCCGCACGCCGATTGGACGAGGCCGCGTCACGTGACGTCTCTCCTCGGGAAGAAGGGAGCGCTGGAAGCATCCTCGCGAGATCCGTGGCTTCCCTTCCTCCCCTGGGCTCTCCTTTAGATATTCCCGCGGAGGGGCGGGCTTCCTCTTGGCGTCCTGTCATTGGCGGGCAGCTGTTCTTCGATTGGCGGTGGGGAGTGTCAAGCTGAGAGATCTACACTGTTATTGGCTGAGTGAGGCCAGTAGGAGGAGGGAGGGTCAGGCTTTACGTCATGACGAAACGTTTTACGTAGGGTGCCGTCACAACCTGGAACTGGGATTTAGATGCAGACTTAAGTTTTGAGTGTATCCTCGTTGGCATTCTCAACCTTTCACAGGGATTGCCTAAGACCATCGGAAAACATATGTTCCGATGGTCTTAGGAACTGGGACACCGCTCCTCTATCCATCTCCAGGCCCACATGCAGATACGCCCACATAGGAGTACCCCGTGACCCCTGTGAAAGGGTCGTTGACCCCCAAAGGGGTCGCGACCCACAGGTTGAGAACCCATGTACAGGGGCTAAACATAGCAACAGCAATTAAAACTATAAATTACTTATATATAAGCAAAAATAAGGTAAAACCTGGTAAGCATTTCAGAAGCATTCATATGCAGTAAATATATTCAGAGGGAATTAATGAAATGGATTTTTCTGTTTTAATCCTCCAAATTTTTGCACAGGCTGTTTTCTCGACTAGAAAACTCCGCAGTTCTTTTCCTGGCTAATTTCTACCTAACTTTCAGATCTTAGATTGACACCTCAGAGAAGCTTTTTCTCCCTTACCCCCAATAAAAAGTGCCTACAACATTCTTTTTCTTGAAGCAATTACAGCTTATGTTTATTTATTAGAAATTATAGCTTATGTTTATTTATTAGCATGTTACATGATTAATTAGTCAATTTCTGTGTTGTCATTAGTTCCATGAGGGCAGGAATCATTTATCACTGTATCCCCAGGACCTATCAATGAATATACATTAGTAGGTACTCAATAGATATTTGCATGACTGCATAAATATGATTTGTACTGTGTGATCATGTAGGTTAAAAGCCTCACACAGAACACTTAGTGTCAGCCTGCAAGCCTTAGAAATGTTTTCTTCAGCAAAAATTTAATCTCTCAAGCCAAGTAGAGGACTGAAAGTGAGCCCAAGTTTGAAATTCTACTGATACTATAGATTGAATAATTAAATCAATTGAATTGGTTGGAAGCAATCTGAAGAAATCAAGAATTTGGGGACATCAGTTTGAGCAAACTCATGTCTTACTGAAGGCCTCAGTTTTCCCATATCAACCCTGAGGATGTTTTCCCTCCCTTCTCTGATATTTTGGCATTATGCAATGATTTAGACCAGTGGGTTATGCAATGCTTAGACCATGGATCACCATTGAGGGTGTCCTTCATAATCACAGGGGGTGTTTTTTTCAAATCATTCATAATAGCTCAATAAGATCATCAATGGAGGTTGGGACATGCATATTCTGAAAAAAAAAATCCTCTGATATAGTCCAGTACCTTCTGTTAAGCATTTGGAAACTTCCAGTAACCTTCTGCTTCAAAAAATTACCTAAATCTGTCAGGGATTTCAGCGCTGAAGTTGCAAGCACTTTAGCTCTAGTCACTTTCTTGTTCCTCTTTTTAGATTCTTTACTTGTTCCAACTCATTATTAATTTCCAATTCATTCATTATATTTTCATCAATAAGAATTAGTTTTGGGGGCCAGCGGAGTGGCTCATTGGTTGAGTTGGCTTGGGCTCTGAGCAACAGGGCTGCCGGTTCGGATCCCACATGGGCCAGTGACACTGCACCCTCTACGGCTAAGATGGTGAACAACAGCTCTACCTGGAGCTTGGCTGCTGCTGTGAGTTGCCAGAGATGGCGTAGACTGCAGTGGGGCTGCAGTGGGCTGCCGTAAGCTACCATGAGTGGGCAGCAGCCAATGTGAGTGGCCGGCAGCCAGCGTGAGCTGCCATGGGCGGCCGTCCAATGGCCAGCGACCGACTGCCTCAGCCAGGAAGAGCGCAATGATCACAATACCAACATGGGCCAGTGAAGTGGTGTCCTCCACAACTAGACTGAAGAACAAAAGGACAGCAACTTGTCTGTTCCCCTTCCTCGATTCCCCAATGCTGTTCCCCTCCCCCAATTCCCCAATAAAAATCTTTAAAAAAAAAAGAATTAATTTTAAAAGTCACTATTGATAAATATGTATCAATCCAGGAAGTCTTCCTGGAACAGAAGACATTCCAAGCAGATTCCTCTTTTATATACAAACGATGGGGAAAAAATTAGGGAAGAATGTGTAAGAGAGGAACAACGTTAGCAAAGGCCCACAGGCAACAGGGATCATGAACTATAGAAGAGGAAGAGAGCCGAAATCAGAGGGTTGTTGACTGGGCCAAATTATGCAAGCTTTGTAGGCCGCGATAGGAAGTTGGGAATGTGTTCTGAGGGCTGTAGGTCGACTTTAGACAGGGGACTGTGATCTGAATCGTGTTACAGAAGCATCTTTCTGGCTTCCTGATAGGGGATGAACTGGAGGGGGAAACCTGAAGCTGGGCACACCAAAGAAGAGGCTGGTGGAATGGTCTGGTCAGGGCAGAGAGGTCAGTGGGGCTAGTGGAAAGGAGGTAGAAGCAACACCCTGATGTCTGACTTGGGTAGCTGAATGGATGAAAACGGGGCAGGGTTGGGGATGAGATGGGAGGAAGGAACTAAACGCATAGAGGAATTCTGTATAGCTGAGATTAGCAAACAGGTATCTAGAGACTCATAAACCCAGTCTCCCAACATCTCCAGAAAGGTATAATTTAAGGGCATTTCCTAAGACGTTAGAGCCACCTCCGGTACTCCAGGGGACGCTGCAGCCGCCACAGCCGCTCTAGGTTCGCTCCGTCCACTCGCTGGCAGAACCGGCCTCTCCCGCAGCCGGCGAAGTGTGCATGCGCTGTCCGGCCGGCAGGAGGCGCGCGTGCGCAGACGGGGCCGGAAGTGTGTGGTTGCCATGTAATATCCTGGCCGCGCGGGCGCGCGACGGGCTGAGGCGGCGCAGGGGCGGGCGCGGGTCTGGCGAGAGGGCTGCGGAGGCGGTGCCGACAGGGCCCGCCGAGGCGCGCGGGGGGTCGGCGGCGCCCAGGAGCCTGTCGCTTGCGCTGTCCCTCCGGTTTGCTGGGTCCCGGCGGGAGGTCGGACGGCGAAAGGCAGAATGTCGGTGGCGGGGCTGAAGAAACAGTTCTACAAGGCGAGCCAGGTGAGCGGAGGCCATAGCGGGGGCGAGCCCCGGGACCCGAGCTTCCCGGAGTCAGGGGCCGAGCTAGGCCCGGCCCCTAGCTAGGGCGGAGGGCCGGGGACACTAAGGGCACGTGTCCCTCGCAGGGTGGGGAGAGCCCAGAAGGGCTGGGTGCGAGGGGGCCTAGGCCTTGCCCGATATGTGGGCTCCAGTCTCCTCGAGAACGGTGGGCAGACACCTGGCTGGGATAGAGAGAGGCACCCAGAGGTTGGTCCGGAACGTGGACCACTCCTCCCCTTCCCTCTAAAGGGCCGGGACGGGGGAGAGAGAAGGGGAAGAAACAGCCCCTAGGCTGTGGACGCAGGACTCTTCCCAGATAGCTCAGGGGCAGGAAAATTTTGTGTCTACCACAACTATTTAAAAAACAACAGCAACAAAAACACTTTTTCGACGGACCCAGTACAAAGTTGAAAAGATAGAATGAAAAGTCAATTTCTCACTTCAGGCCCTCTCCTCAGAGACAAGGAGACTGTCACCAACGACTTATGTATGTCTCTTTCCAAAATATGTGTACGCCTTCCCTTTAATAACGCAAACAGGTGGTGTAACATAGTCCTGTGTACTTTGAGTTTTTTGTTAAATCTGTTTTGGAGATCACACTAAAGCTGGAATTCTCCACCATGGGTCATTCTGTGGTTGGGGGTGGCCATCCTGGGCACTGTGGGTTGTTGAGCAGCATCCCTGGCCTCCACTCACTCATATAGGAGCAGCTTCCTAGTCTTGACAACCACAGATGTTTCTGGTCACTGTCAAATGACCCTGGGGGAGCCCTTTCATTCCCCTCCCCCAGAGTTATTGCACTAGAACATACCACTAGAGCTTCTTGAATCTTTTTAATGGGTTCCTGGTATTCCATTTCATGAAGTGTACCATTATTAATCTTATTAGTTGTCTATTGATGGATGTTTATATTGTTTCTAGTAGTTTTGTGCTACAAACAATACTGCAGTGAATAGCTAGCAAATATCTTTGCCCGCAGGGGAGATTGTATTTATAGGGTAAATCCCCAGAAGTGGCATGCTGAATCCAAGAATATATGTGTTTTACATGTGACAGGTAATATAGGTTTTTTGGGAAAGTCTGGGGCAAGAAGCCCCAGATTCCTTGAATCCTTTTGGTCCCGGCATTGCATCCCAGATTAAGAACCATAGGTGTGGAGTTTGTGTGAATAGACTCCATAGAGGAATGAGTGATAATCTTCAGAACTGTGTGGGCTCTGCTGGCAAACTGGGCTCTACTCCCAATTTGAAGAGGTCCAGTGGGAGGGAAGAGAAATGAGTCTCCAATAACACATGCTGGTACGTTTTGCCCTCAAGGGAAAAAGTCTAAACCCTAGTGGTTGTCTAGAGCTAAAGATATTTGGGGTCTGTCTGTAGACCCCAGATGTTGGCTAAACCCTAGAGGAAGAGAGACTTAATTTTGAGGGATTCTGCGATTGTTGCTGAGAGTACAGCCCTTTGCCCTAACAGGATGGAATGAAGTGACCTGGCCCTGGGTTAGACCCTGCCCAGCAGGCATCAGACTCCCGAGTGCTTGACTGGAGCATCTGGGAAAGCTGCTTGGGCCCTGATGTAGTCCCTCCTACAGAACTGATGTCTCTGTAGGTCTTGGAAGAATTCCTGGACCACTTTGTTCCTTCATGTAGACAGGTCTGTGGGAGCCCACCCCACCCCCAGCTATCAGGGCCTATGCTGGTGGCCGATCCCACCCCAGCTAGAGGAACTAGCTGGGCCTTTCAGGCCAGTGACTAGAGCTTTTTATGTCAGGGGGAAACAGGATGGCCCGCACTCAGATCTGTGAGGAGTGCTTTGAAACCTGACAAGCACAATGCAGTGTAAGCCGGTGGTTCATTTCAATTTATTATCTGAGTCCCAGCCTCAAAGAATTACTGCGATGGCCACATCCTAACCTGAGAGTGGTTGTCTTGGCCGCCTGATCAATTCCATGTTGCAGTGTACTCTCAGGAATCACCCTGGCTGCGTTCCATTCTCTTCTGCAATAGTTTCCACAGTCCTCTAACATCTCCATTGTTTATCTGGCCATGTCCATCTCTCTGTGTGTTTCTTTTTCTTGGTCTTAGGAATACCTCTTTCATCCTCTTTTATGCCCTCAGAATAGGGTTGTCTGTTGAAGAGTAACATCTCTTGTTAATGAAGTAATATTTATTGACTTCTCAGCGTGAATAGGCAATATGCTTTAAAGTAGTCCATCTGAACTGGCCTCACTTACTGGCATAAGGGTAAATGTATTCCCCTTTTTCTTTCTTTCTTTTTTTTTTAATTGGGGAATTGGGGGATGGGAACAGTGCTGGGGAATTGGGGGAAGGGGAACAGACAAGTTGCTGTCCTTTTGTTCTTCAGTCTAGTTGTGGAGGGGGTTGCTTCACTGGCCCAAGTTGGCACCAGCATAGCGCTCTTCCAGGACGAGGCAGATCAGTTGCCGGCTTCTGGACGGCCGCTGGCCGCTCATGCTGGCTGCTGGCTACACACGGTAGCCCATGGCAACCCACTGCAGCAGGGACTGCAGCCTACACCCTCGACTCACAGCAGCCCAGCTCCAGGTTGAGCTGTTGTTCAGCATCTTAGCTGTAGAGGGCAGTGTCACTGGCCCTCATATGTGGGATCTGAACCGGGGCCCTCTGGCGTCCCAATCCAGCTCTTAACCAACGCGCCACTCAGCCGGCCTATATTCCCCTTTTAATTTTTTTATTTTTTATTTATTTATTTTTTTTTTTATTTTTAGCTGAGCCATCCTGCTACCTGTTGGCAGCTCAGCGGCTGCTCAGCTCGGGCTAGACTTGAACCACTGTTGCTCAGAGCTCAAACTCTTGAGCGAGCTCTTAACCAACTGAGCCACTCGGCCGGCCCTATATTCCCCTTTTTAAACAGAAAGATTTTGGGACATTTGTCTTCCTCTAGAACTGCTTTTCAACTAGGGCCACTTCTGTCCTCCAGGGGACATTAGCAATATAGGGAGACATTTTTGGTTGTCAGAACTTGGGTTACTACTGGTATTTAGTGAGTGGAGGCCAGGGATGCTGCTTAACACCCTACAATGCACTGGGCAGCCCCCACAACCAAGAATTCGCTGGCCTCAGATGTCAATAGTGCTGAGATTGAGAAATCCTGCTTTAAAGTGTAAGAAAAGTGAAGACAGTTATACAAAAACAACAACAAAATCCCACCTGGGCCATTCTTGTGACAGCTGCCTGCTTTCCCTAGTTTTTAAAACACAGATAACTACATATACACAGATGGACATGTACGTAAAACTCAGCGTCCAGTTCCCAAATCCTTAGAACCCCAGAGTGTCTTTTGGCATCTGGTATTTTTGAGAAGATATAAGCTTGCATCAGTGCTTCTCATCCAAGGGTGACTGACCCTGCTCTCTCTGGTCTCCCTCTATGCACCTTCCTGGGGACATTTGGCAATACCTGAGACGGTTTTTGGATGTCACGACTTGAAGAGAGGATGCTACTGGCATCGAGTGGATAGAGGCCACCGATGGTTGCCAAACAGCCTACAGTGCACATGACAGCCCTCCCAGAACAAAAAAATTATCTGGCCCCAAATGTTAGCACCGAGGTTGAGAAATCCCACTTTGGAACAGGTTCTTGATTTCAAAGGCTTGTAACAGTGTCATTTCTAAATTGAGAAATAGCAGCCTGGTGGATGTCCAGAGAGCCTGGAAAAGACAAACTTGGTTTCTAACAGGTGAAGCTATAATGTTAATTAAAAGTTTCTAATCGCATACTTGTAACAAACCAATTGTAGTAGTACAGGCATACCTCATTTTATTGTGCTTCACAGATGTTGCAATTTTTTTACATATTGAAGGCAAGACACACACACCCTCCCCCCCAGCAAAAAGACTACAACTTGCTTTATTATGGTACTGGCTTTATTGCGGTGGTAGTCCGGAACCGAATCTGCAATATTTCCTAGGTCTGCCTGTATCTGGCAGTATGCTGGCAAATTCCACACCATTTCATCTCAGATGAAAACTTTCAGGTCATGTATATAAAATCAGTTTGGGCTTCAGTGGGAAGTTTGTGAGTTTTTATTTCTTATGAGCTGGCCACTGCCTGGGTTGAGGGCCTAGCTGAGGCAAGTTGAATATATAGAGCAGCGGTTCTCAACCTGTGGGTCACGACCCCTTTGGGGGTCGAATGACCGTTTCACAGGGGTCGCCTAAGACCATCGGAAAACAAAAAGATACTCATTACGATTCATAACAGTAGCAAAATTACAGTTATAGAGTAGCAACGAAAATAATTTTATGGTTGGGGGTCACCACAACATGAGGAACTGTATTAAGGGGTTGCAGCATTAGGAAGGTTGAGAACCGCTGCTATAGAGGAAAGCAGTAAAAGAAATAGGCATCTGTCTTGGGCTGTTTTGGTCCCCTCTGGCTTCCCTGTGGAATGCCCACTCCCTCAGTAGCCATCTGATAAGTTATGCAAGGCTAGAATTGGGGAAGATGCTTTTATATGATTATTTCTGGGGAGCTAAGAAGGATAAAGGAACCCTACTAGTGAGATCCAAACTCAAAAGTTTACTTCTCATTGTCGTGTGTGTTTGGGTGACGTTAACATTCAGGCCTAAACTGCTAACTGGTTTCCTGATAATTCTTGTGGTTGGGCCGTGTGGAGATTTGAGAGTGTAACTAGGGATAGAGCTGGCAGCTGGCTGGAATGCTGGCCTAACTTTTTTTTTTTTTTTTTTTTTTTGCCTGAAAGGAGGGAGAGTTTGACAAGATTGCTTCCCTTTGAGCTAGGAGGAGAATTCATGACCGCCATATCCCCTAGCTTTGAAGTTTGTTGGGTGCTCGCTAGGCCCCAAGTTTGGGCCTAGGAGGAAAGATCAAACTTCCTGTGAGAGGTGTGGGGTGGAAGGAGGGCTGGGGGACCCAGGATTCCAATCTATTAGAGTTTTTCTGGAGGACGTGACTAGTGTTTGGAA